TTTTCCACTCGTGATTATCAAAACTTTCGCGTTTATATTTAACGAGGGCTTGACTCATACGAATAAAATCGTTTATTCTTCGCTTTCTTAAACAATTACTTGGTATGAAATGTGATAGTGCAACCGATAACGATGACTTGCACAACTTTTATATATGCTAGTTACAAATATACAATTGATATACAATTGATTCTGGCAGTTTGCTGTTATGTTTCTGCCATTAATTTGTTCACCAATAATTTGTCACGTTTGAGTAGGTTGCCCCTTTTATTGGCATCATCTCGGAAATGGCATTTTAATTATGTTGATTTTTTATGTGAAAATGAAATGAGGGCAAAAAGTAAAGACTCGGAGTTGCCTTGACTAAAACTGTCACACTGCACGTTGCATGATAAATGATGTTTTGCCGTCCTTCAAATGTCCAAGGTAGTTTGTCTCTTTAATGCAAGACGAGCCAATGGAGACAAAAGATACGCATTCATCTTCAATCGTAAATGGCGCCGCGAATGATTTTTGATTTTGATTTAAATAAAGCTTGGAGACAATTATTGTTAGATATATCCCGGAAATATGTATGATGCATCGGACAATTCACGAGGCGGTTTCTTTAATTCAACTAGCAAATTTCCGTCGAAATCCGATATTCTTTTTATTCGCTTGTGCGTTTCATGACAGAGAATGTGCTATAATGCTACGTTCTTCGCTTCTTAGGCGCACAAAAGTACACTGGACACAGGGGAGAGAATGCGTATATATGTAGTTTTAATCCGCGTGTCCATTGACATTGTCTGTCCGTCTGCTGAAATGATAATTACGATTAAAAAGTTTTGTGCTGATGAACAAGGCTCTTCCCAAATTTGTCACATCATTCTTGTCAAGCGAAGTTCCCCGCATACGTAATAAGAAAAAAGCATTTTACGTAAATTATATTTTTGGGACAGATTTAAAGACCACCTTCAATTTTTGTGTTTAATAAAATCGTCATTTAATTTTGAAATTCGATTAAATTGAATAAAACGTTCCCCGGCAAGTCAACGCAAATTTTGTATAAGAATATGATGTGAAATGTATACAAAACGTAGGACGATTTACAGCATTGCTCTATATTCGAGAATGAAATGTGACTTGTGTTTACGGAACTATACATACATACAAAGTGAAGCTTAATACATACTCAAGCTAAAAATCAAAGATCGTAGATCCTCTCTTCGAACCGTGTGAATTTCTATTAGAGATAACAGGCAGCTTCCCGTTCGAACTGGAATAATTAGATCAGAATCTTTGCTTTAAATGGCTTGAATCAAAAACACGCTATTGGTGAGAAGTGTCACTTTTACGGTTAAGTTGAATAAAAGTGCTGCCAAATCATGGCGGATAATGAGAAATCGTTACGCCCCGCTCCCATAGTTCAATAGGCAAAACTATAATGTAAACTAGCTCAAGTATTCCTTATGTCTGCCAGTGAATAGGCCGCAACACCAGACCAGAGTGGGTTTATTGAGCCATACACAATAAACAATCTTGACTCTGGTGCTGTTTAGGCCCCTAGTTTATAGGGATTGTCTAATTCGCCAGGGGACGTGGGTTACGCGTAAATAACCACCGTGAGGTTAAGCCATCAAGGCAGCTACTCACGTTAAACTCTTGTTGCGATCTGTTACTAGTGAATTAAGATAGTGGATATAGTGCATTATAAATCGCTGAATGGAGTGAAACTGTTGTTGAGGAATGCAATCAACAACAACTGATGCAATTCAATAGGTCCTTGAATATAAAAAGGCGACGATACGTTAAGAATGTAGGATTGTCGGGACATTTCCGACGAGAATTTTCGGGAAACACTTGAAAGTATTAGAAGACGGATATAGTCGCCGCTTCTATTGGTCTCCAAAACGCATTCCGATACAGTAAATATGCTGAATAAATCTGCACAAGTACAAACAAGTCATTGCGTAAGTGCTATTGGATGTTCGATTCGAACCGAGCATTTTTTTCATCTTACCCTATAAAAGGTGTTACGTGCTCGGTCAATAAACACGAAAAACATTTATGTCTATGCTTATATAATGAACGGCAATAAAGAAATCGTACATTCATTGCAAATTGGAATCAACCAAATAAAAATAAGACAAAGTGCAGTTGCAGAATAAGGTATATGTGACAATTGCTTTGTTCTTTGTTAGTGTTTGCATCGATGGAAAATTTTAACACAACTTTTTTTCATAGAATTTTATTAATTGAATTTTGATACTGAGCGTCAACGCTACTTTGCCAATGTTTCTACCACTTTTTGCTTGCCACCCCAAATGATTGTTGTTGTGGCCAAGAATAATATCGTAAAGATTGAATGGGCGCTGAATTCATTATGTGACCCCAAAGATGGTTTATTAAGCGAAATTTCTACTCAAAATTACGAAATTTTCGGAAAATTATTTTCTTGTAAAATCGACGCTCTTGTGTTTGTAATATGTAATTTGTAATATGTGTTTTTTTTTTTAGGGAATTGCACGACATTTCAACAATTGCTGTAATCTACACCAATTGTGGTAGAAGGGCTTGTGAAGTTTGTGTAGATGTATGCAACACCCAAAAAGACTTGAGTTACTTATTATAAAAAGTGATTCTGAATCGATCTGAGGTTGCCTGTCCATCCGAAACACATTTCGATGAAATTTAATAAAAAACATATAATGGTGTAAGGACGGACGTTGTTGAAAATAATTAGGAGCAGATCAGTTTTTCGACTGCTTCTCGTATGAATCATTATTTTCAGAAGTCGTTATATGTGTAACGATATTAAGCGAATTAGTGTAGTAGTAATATATCTAATGGTGGGTCGTTACTTATCTCAATTTCTTATTTTAGATAAAAAGTTGCTATCTGTAGATATACTGCCGAAGAAATGCTTTAAGGAAAAGATTTTTCCCTTTGCGAGAATTGATGCGCAGCCAAACAATTTCGCTTCGGCGTTTCTAAATAAATCCGAAAAAATGACTCGTAGTAGCGAGATTACGAGACGATATTAAACGAAATTTTTAAGAGAATACAATAAAAATTAAAGAAAAAAATGAAAGAAGATTCTATGAAACAGCTATATATACGCCGACCGTAAATACTTTTGCTCTTTATGCGAAGAATTGTTTATTAGGATCCAAGGCCATAACCATACCTCCGCCGTCTACATTAAAAATATGATATCAAATCAAAATGCGGTATAAAATCGAAGACATCAAATCAACTGCATGGTAAGATGATAAGGAATAATATATGTGTCTGAATCTGTGAATTGTTTTATATCTGATGAAAAAGTGCACATTGTTAAAATTTGTCTTGGGCATAGCTTCTTGTATGTAATATTTTACCACACGACCAAATCATATTTAGTTCTTGCAAAAAAGTCCTTTTTTCCATTAACACAATAAAAAAAGATTTCGACGATGTCGAGAAGCTATCCTATATCCTATGTCAAGAAGCTGTGCGTCCTATATCAGGCACCTCTTCTTCTCCATTCTCAAAGATACCGCAGTCATTATTAGTGAATTTTTCCTGCAAAATTTTAAATGCTTCTCTGTTGGGCGGAATCGATCCTCTGAAGCTTCCGGCTATCCAGAATCTGGATGAATTTTCTTCACTAATTCGATGTAAGCACGACGTATTAGCACTGATTGTAACAGCTTACGAGGTATCGAATAGAGCGGCGAATATAGATACACTAAGATAAATTTGCTACTGAAGCTTAACATAATAGTTAAAGCGTAACAAGTAGTACAGTTTGGAGGTAGTCGATATTGATTCTATTTAGGCGCACTGAAAAATGAAAGAGTTTAAGGTCCGCTCGTTCTTAAAAAAATTATCACTTTTTTGGTCGTCCTTTCTGAAGTTTCCTACTAACAGTTATTGGAAATAGTACGTAATTTAATATTACGTTTAAACTACTTGAAGAAGTACAATTTTTAAATACACACGTTCATCATTATCGTTAACATCATAACGTTTATGCAAATATAAGCATTATGATGAGTACATACAGCAAAGTTTGCAAAGTTTCAATTTTTTATGCAGATATGTTGACCACTTGTTGGTCGGTAAGTGAGTTTTTCTCTTAATCTATTCCGAATCGCTCTCTTTTGATTTGAAAACATGGAAGTGTTCCGTTATTGCGGCGTTTCTGTTCAGATTCAATCCCGCCCAAAAAGCTTATAGAAAAAAATTTCCAATCACAACAACAACAAATATGCTCTCAGAGTAAACAAAAATGAAATGATGGAAAATGACAATCTTTACCAGGTTTGCACTAGAAGTCAGCAAGGAGGCTGCGAAAAGAAACGGAATAGAACCTCGAAGGCCTCCGAAAGCCAATTGCAGTTGTTTATGTTTATTTTGATGTTTAATTTTCATTTAAAGCCTGAAAGTTATCATAAAAATTTTTGTGAACTTTCGATTTTTTCCAATTCTCATCTTCTCCATTATGCCCATTCTTTCATCGCTAAATTTTTAATACGATTTATTTTCGATATATGGCCATATATCTATATTTCTATGCCAATTTTTACAAGTTCGATACTTGCTGCAATAGAAGGATGAGAGGACCACAGACACAGTCATAGATTGTCAAAATTGACCCTTCCAGATAAGGAGTTCCGCTCTTTCAGGCTTTCAAAAAATATATTTAAAGCAATTCTCTCTTAACGCTAACAGTAAAAATTCAGATTCTGCGTATAAGAAAGATGTAAATGCTAAAGATACCTAACATTAGAGCATATGCACGTAGACGAGAGATAATTAACATCAGTTGGTTTCTAATTTTCGGAGGAAATTAAACGCAATTAAACGGCAAAAAGCGATGATTAATTAAGAGCGTATAGTTGTAAAGTTTCCTTTTGGAATCAATTTTGCTAAATGAAAATGACAGAAACGTATCATAAATTTACGTCTTCCACGGATATCGTCAAGATATCATAAAAAAACACGTAATATATTTAATTTTTTTTTTTTTTTTTTTTTCTTGATTTTGATTGCATTATGCAGAGCAATTTTCTACATCATTTGAAGCTTGTCTACGAGTTTGTGTGTGTGCGTTCAAATTAAAAATACCGTTAAGAAGAAGTATTTGAATCAAAAATTTCACTTACTTCAATTGCAATTAACATACATTAATGTGTTCCTTGTTTTCATCTAAAATATTTTGTTTTTTTTTTTTGAAACTTTAAAGTTATTCGGCTGCCGCACTCCCTATGAAAGAAATGTACATCATCTGTAAAGTTCTTTTCAAAAAATTTTCGCCGAAACTATTATTTTAAATGGTAAATATTTTGCAAAAATCTTCCCTTTTCAGTGGCCTTCAAGATTTTCATTGTTGTTCAATGCCGTTCAATGTATAAGTGAAGTGAAAGTTTGCGCTAATAAAAAAAATTTGACAAACTTGAACATTATTTAAAAACTGAAATGATTTCAAAGGTCCTTTCAGTTTTGTGTGCATGCAAACTTTTTTTGGGCAAATGTAATCATAATAAAGTTCAATTTAACTGAGTAACAGAGCATGCTGCGTGTATAATAATAGCTCGCTCGAAGTTAGATGTAAAATGTAACGAATCAAAAAAGTTCCTGACTTAATGAAGAGGCGCTTGAAATTTCAAGAAAACTATTTTTGGGATGAAGGAGGAGTGATTTCTTTTTCTTCGCTTTAGGAATTCCTATTCATAGAATCAAAAGCAACGGTTATAGTCTTTGAAAATTATTAGGCGTGGACAAGAAGAGCTGCCTCGGGTATGTTAATATTAAGTAATGCATACAATTGCTACGCTTTGGATGAAATCATACCTTCAGAGACTTTTGAAAGCGTTAATGCATGTGCTTTGTGACCGCATTTGCTAAGCACTGCATGTAAAGCGGTAAAACTGTCATACTTTCAAACTCAAATTCAGCGTAAGAAAACACATAGATATAACATTTACAGTAAATATAGATATATCGATCGGATCATCAAAAAAATTATCTTTTCTTTTCCGTGAAAGTTATCAGCACGAATTTTCTTTTAAGTAATATTTCATGCCCTTTTTGTGCCATGGACTTTTTTAAAAAGTTCAATCTTGGGATCCAAATTTTTTTCACTTTTCTGGTTCATTTGAATAAACCAATGCTTGAACATAACCTCAAAGTAAAAAGTTCCATAGACTTATATCGCATGATCGCATGGCAAGCTGACATAGGCATTTTTGGAAATATTTGTCATATATATACTAACACAGGTCAAGGCTGTCACATTCTTTCCCAGTTTGTGGGGGCCAAGAAGGATGGCGGTTGACTTTACCGCAACATAAGAATTTGCTTTTCATGATAATCCCCACATATGGGGAGTTTTCAAAAATAGACCTATGTAATCCAAACTTTATGCGTTTTTTTTTTTTTTTGGTAAATTGCTACTACGAACTAATTTTCATCAGAAAACACTAAAGATTAAACCTTTTTCTAAAGGTCTGCCCTATTCATGAGAAAAGTTATATGGAATGTCGGCCGAAGAAACAGATTCATATGGTTGAAATTTGGTTCACTTAATGTCTATGTCAAATTACTATTATAGACAAATTTTCAATTTTTCCCAAATTTTCCTTTTTTTTTTTTTTGGGCATTTAAGGAGAATTGTTGGTCCAAATTCATAAAGAATGATTTCTATGACAACTTACTATTTTGGGCCAAGAAATATTTTAAATTGGGCCTTTTTACCATATAGAGATTCAGCGATTATAGGGGGGTTCAAAAACTGTTCCGATCCGATCTAAAGTTCTCATAGCACTATTACTCAACGACTTTTGCCGAGAAAAGTTAACTATATTTTGATAAGTCATTATACGCGGAGCGGTGGAGAAATGGTCCGATTTGTTCGTGGTTCAAAACACATCAGTGTATAAGATTTTAACAAAATGCATTCAAAATCATGACCTATAGGACGAACACAAGATTAAATAGACAGACATCAAACGGAAAAGTTTAAATCGATTCAGAAAATGATTTTGTACCACGAGTGGTGCGTCGTATAATAAGAAGGGGAACAAGTAAAATATCCTTAAGAGTCATCCTCAATGCAAATATTTTCTTTTCAACAAGATGGTGATGTCACCTTCTTAGTAATTCTTTAACATGTGTGCAAGCTTTAGCTAAACTCTTACAATTTTTTATATTGCGATGCCTAACGTCTATCCGTTTAACGCGGCTATGAATTATGAGATTTTTAACCAGCAGGTGTTATGTTTCACTTACCGCATCTTTGTAACATCGATTATGTTAATTACCATTTATTTAAATAAATCCGGAAATTCTGACGCCTCTTGTTCAGCTGAAGGTAAGCCCACATTCAACATTCCGCTCAAATACGTATTAGCGTTGAACTATTTTTGTTCGCGTTCGCAAGTGGATGAACCGATGAGTGTGTAGACATCATTGCCATCCTAAACGACTTTTATGTGACATTTTTCCGGTTCGCTTATTTCACTATATTGAATTTTTAATTATCTGTTCCTTCATTTAAGCTTTTGAAATCCAGCTTAGCTACTCATATTGTACCCCACAAAAACTGTAACAATATATTCGTTAGAAGTGTGTACAGGCGTCCCCCACTTAATACGGTTTATTCGCACCATGCTATGTCGAAATCGTGTTATATGAAACATTTTTATTTTTTATTTAAATTTAAACTTGTGTACAACACAAACCAAAAAAGTGAGTATCGCGTTGTAACGAAAACACCTCTTAACGTCTAAAATTTTATGGCTAAAACTTTATTATAGAGTTTCAGTTTTCATAAAAAACAATATTCGATTGGGAGTGAATCTCCCATACCTGCCACCATTAAAATCTTTGGTGACCCATGTTTTTATTTATTGTCATAAAAAAGTGAATGAGATAAGACTTATCTTTCATTTTTTACTTCACTGAAAGCTATTATGAAGAAAAATTAATCTACGACGCCGTGATGTTCACCGTAATTGATTTAATTTTAACACACTTAGCTCTTCCCATTCGAATTTCCGAGCCCTTTTATTTGATTCTCATATCGTTGGTATTATTAAGAAACAATTAATCCACCAGTCTATGGTGTCTACCATATTCATTTTAGAACTAGTCAACGTTTTGGCAGATAATATATTTTCATTTGAGGAATGCACAAAATAGTTTCAAAAATTTGGTCTTCTTTGCCTCAAAAAAGTGAAAAAAATTAAATTTAATCACTTGTAATTTTGTGTGGGCATGGCCCACAAATGAAAAGTGTTTCGTAAAGCAAATGTGGAAAATGTTGATATTCTCACTAAGTAACGAGCAAACATCCACAAACTTTTCTTAGGAAAAACGGCGCGCGTTCAGTTTACGCTTCACAGCGGGACTCTGCACCGAACACTTTGGTCCATTTTCAATACCGACCTGCGGGCAAAAGATTTCAATTTTTCTATCAAATTTGAAGTCGATAGCTTCATTTTTGCGATCAGGAGGTTGCCAAAACACAGACGGACAGACATGGCTTAATCAAACCAGAATTTCACGTTAATCAAAAATATATATACTTTATAGAGCCATGCGAAGAGAAACAAAATGAGTTTACTTCCATGCTCTGAACCATGATGGGTATAAAAATATATATATATATATATATATTATTACTATCATAGTTTATTTAGACCAAAAGAATAAATTTTAAAAGCTCTATAAAATTTCATATAACGATTGAATACAAAAATTAAAAGTATATTCAAAATTAATTTTCAGCAAAAATTACAGTTAACCTAATTTTTTTTCAAAGCGGGCTGAACTCCCCCTATTCCTTCAACTCAATTCAGTTTATTTACATTCACCATCAATATACAAAAATCGTTAAGCAATAATATAAACAAAACTAAGCGTACAGGAATTTTTCTTTTTTCTGCTTAAATATACAATAAATAACAACAAAATTTATAATGGACGAACAATTTTGCAAAAACCTAATTGAAGGGCAAAAAAGTAGGAAAATTAAATTCGATCGAGACCGAATCCTTTATCCCCATCATCGTTTACCTCCCCCAAAATAAAAGGACAAAAGAAGCAAAAGAACAAAACTCTCATGCTCTATAATATGGGGCGGGCGCAGTTGATTTCTTCTATTTTCGAAATAAAAGGTTTTGTCGTAGACGTATGTAGGCGTTGTAGGCGTGAAATGTTTAAGTCAATTCCAAAATCTTTTGTAAATTTGCAGGCGATATCTTCATTTTCGCTAACGGCAGAATGTTTACCACAAATACTACAAACTTACGCAAACAGACAGATGGGCAGACGGACATGCTTAAGTGCGAGGTAAATTTTTTCCATTTTTGTGCAAAAATGCTAAAGAATGCAAAAATGCCCATAGAATTTGAAGATATTCAAATATTTGTTCATTTATTTGTTATATTTTATGAGTAATGAGCAAAAAACCAATATTTCATTCCCTTTAAAAAACAGAGGTGTTCTCAGTTTAGGCGGTGCTGTGGGCGTGTCCGCCAACCGATTTGACCCATTTGCAAAATAATTGCAGAATTTGCAGTTGATAGCTTCATTTTTGCGGCCAGGAGAATGTTTACAACACACATTAGACAGATGGGAAGACGGACATATGGACAGACGGAGTTACTTAAATCGATTTCGAATTTGATGCTGATCAAAAATTGACAAAATGGAATCCTGTAAAGTATATAAATTCTCAACCAGTTCCAAATTTGGAATGCATGTCCGCGTGCTCGCTTGTCCATATATCTGTCTGCGCAACTGTGTAGTGTGGTATTTGCGGTAAACATTTGTCATTGTCAGTGAAAACGAATACTTCACCTACAAATTTGCAAAAGAATTTGGAAGGGGCTAAACTTTTCACAAGGCACGCCCACAGCACCCACACCCACCAAACGCGAAAAAAAAAATTTAATTTGGAAATAGAAAATATCAGCTGCGCCCAGTCCATACTATAGAGCATGAGTGTACAGCTCTTTCACTATTTTGGGATAAGGGTGACGGATATAAAAGATTCGGTCACGACCGAATATAATTTTCTTACTTGTAATTATTAAACTTTCACATACGCTCACAATGTAAATCTTTACTTATGATTAAACAGTGTAAGTGTTGCAACAATTAGTGTAAGCACATGCTCGTAAAAAGAAGTATATTTTTATGTTAATCCCTTTTTCCGCTAAATGTTGTGCTAATTGTTATTAATCTCTTCGGCCGCTGCATGCGACAGATAGCCCGTTATGAGCGCATTTTTGGAGTTTGATTTTTCATAAAAATTGATTAGGCTTCACGTAAGCTCAAACGATCGAATGCTGGAATTTCCGCCCTCCACTTAATTTCATTTTTCGCGAATACTTTTGGAATTAGGTTTCTTAGAAAAGTCGACTTTGATTCATGCAAACCCAAATCAGTATATTACGTTGTATGTCAATGTCTTAGCAATCTCTCAAACAAGTTAGACGGCACACAAACTTTGGCCTTAGCACCACAATTTTCAATATCGTTCCTATACCCATTCTTGAATGGGGAAACAAGGACATTAATTGTACCCAATTTTGGGAAAATACCCGATAATAGCAATGTAATGGATGTATAGGTCAGAGGTTGAATGATTTTATCAGAACTATTTTTGATGGTTTTGTAAAGTAAGTTTGTTCAAGAAGTTTGTGCAAACGTGCCCGACTTGGTAAAGCCTCTACTGAATCAGATTACTTAAGCCACACGTATTTGAATTTTTTATCTTTTGACACTCATTCGCTGTAATCGTAGCATTTCTTACTCGTTTTTCAGTTATTGTTTATGGGATGAAACCACGACTGCTTAGCAGGTTTATTTCCTGACTAAACCCGATTAGGTAGCGATTACTTTTTTCCAATGTAACATAAGGCACGCATTGCAGCGTTTGAAAGATTGGTGTCCAACGATTCCCTTTACGTCCCTTGTCAACTATCTAGTTACAGTGCAAAAATTATTTTTTGTTAATAGTTTCCTAATTTCCTAAACGAGACCGGACGTCTCGTACGTTTCGTACTGCGCTCAGCGTAGTTCAGTTATTCTGAATAATCAAAAAGTGAGATGGTGGAAGTTGTAACACAGAAGCCGCCGTAACAGTGACAGTGGATTCAAAATTCATATTTCAAAAATCGAATCACGAGCTGCAAAGAACTTAACTATATTAAAAATTCTATTTGCCGCTATTTGGTGTTCACAATGAGGTATTGTACTTTGCGAAAGCTTACATAGAGTGCGGAAACTAATTGGTCCGGGTACTTATGCCAATATACAAAAATCCTACTAGGGTTTCCTTTGGTTGATATAATTAATAAAATCGTTAAGGACGCGTTACAATTTCTAACGTCATCCTATTTTATACGAAACTTTTGTTTGGCTTTCAAAATCGTCCCGCCTTCTAAGCTGAAAAAATTCTAAATCAGTTTATCATTTGATGTTTAACACGGAAACGGATTTCACACTGAGATACTAGAATGAAACGAAGCTTCTACCAGGGCTTAAAAAGTCTCACGCAGTTCACCTCCCAGTTAGTCAATACGCTCAATGTTCGATGAGCACAAAACGAACCGAGGGTTAGACAGAATTGTTTAGACCTCGTAGAACACACAAAATGCAAACGCGCCCAACGTTGTCACTATTTCAGGGCTAGGAAGACTGCAGTCAATGTCCGCATGTTGTAGTCCCATAATTATCAAGTCTGTAAATCTAGAGCATAAAGGGGATTCCGCTTAAACCTTTATTAGATCCCATAGCCAAGCCTGAAAGCTAAGTGCAAATTTAATCCCACAAGAAAGTAATCTTAATCTGTTCAATTATTCCCAATGCTATAAATTACCCCAATGAACTAGCAAGTCAAAAGTTCCCGATATCTGCGAAAAGTGTAAACATAATAAATGATCCAAGTGTTGAGAAATCTCTCCCACGTTAAGATATTAATAAATATCAGTAGAATGGGGTACACAAGAAGGCCAGGGAACTAAAAGCAGATAACAATGGATTGTAATTGGCTAAAAAAAGACATTAATGGTTGCTATCGATTTGGACGGTTTCTTAGTTTGCTTTCATGCGGTATTATTATGTGGATCTTACCTACTTTGTAAAGCGTGAAAAATGTCTATTGTCACGCTTATCTTTTTTAACTTTGAGCATCCCAATGGATGCCTATTAGCATAAGTGCTGCAAAGTTAAATTTTATTTGCAGATAACCTTTGCCCAAGGGCGAAGTTTGAGGGTTTTCCTTGTTTTCAGAGTTTGAAGTGTTTTATATAAGTGCTTTTTATAATTTTCTACTTTTTTTCTTTTCTAAATTTTTACACTAAACGAGCAACAGCAGCAGACACATTCGCTTTTCAAGCTACCACATAAAAGTCACATAGCTATTCAAAAATGTGCTCTGCTTCCGCTGAAACAACAAACTATGTATTTATATGAAAAGCATGCGTAGATAAGTTCTTCAACAAGCTTTGAAATTACAAGTCAAAGAAGTAGTTTTTCAAATCGTAAGTTTTGTCAAAGGATTACCGCAATCTGAAGAAAATGATAATTGAAAAATGCGTAGATTCTCTTGTTTGAAATACAACAAATCGGATATATTTGATGGAACATGTGTCATAGGAGTGGCCGTATACATCAATTCTAACATTCAATGCGTGCAACACAATTAACTTAAATTTTGTTGCCATTTTACTCATATTGACAGGTTTACATTTTCGGTAAATTTCTCTCTTCTTGCTACTCTGACAAAAACACGGTATCATTATTGGATGCCAAACTGTGTTGTCACTTAAGGTCTTATTTGAACTATTTTTTTTTAGCGAAGACCAAAAAAATCGATGTTGGCAAACATGCGAGAACTTTTACGGCTTGCTTAGATTACTCGTAAAAATATCTTAAAAGTTTCCTCTTTTCAATTTGCTTCGCTCCTCTAATGGCTGCTAGCAGCTAGTTCCGACATTATCTTTCAAAAACCAATAGGTCAAACTCATTGTGTCTTGTTTCGTTAACAATAGATGAATATTAAATCTTTTCTGAGATTTTGAACTGCTTTAGTGCTGCTTACTATTCACTGATATCACAAGTTTTGAGTGGATGCCAGTGGAAATCCGTTATTCTACGTATCTTGCGTGAAGAGATTTTCGAAACCTTGCAATTTTGCGCTGATATACTCGTTAAAAAAATCGCAAGAACGTCAAGTGCATAGATAATAAAAGCAGGTCGTCAATACCCTTGCATACAGCTGGACTGACTCACTTTGGCCTTTTTTCAATGTCTTGTGAGCATCGTCCATCACGAAGTGCTTAAGAATTTTTTTAAAAAAGATTTTCTTATTCGATTACCGTAGCCATTTTAATGGCAACTATTTATGAACGAAGATACGTTGTTTTCCAAAAGTTGTTGAAGTGCCTTTCACTTTCTCCTTTAATACTAGGCTTTGGTATATGAAAAACTCAGCAAACCAGCACCATATTCTGATAAAAACCAAACGAAAATATGCCATTAATAGGTTTTTAAAAATATATCTAAATATTACTTTATTTCCTATATTGTTTATATATCCTTCTCCTTTAACAATGCGTCAATCGCCACAAGGGGTTTGTAACAGTTCGCTACCCTTTTTATGGCACGATCGAAATATGGGGTGGGTGGGTCAGTAAATTCATTCAATTTCATAATAGAGTAGCCATCGACTTGTGACACGGTATCGTTGTTCAGCAAATGGAGCGCCAAACTTGTTGTCGTGATTTCTCATGCATTGCTGTTTAGACATTGTGTGATGCACATGTTCTTTTGACGATGCCCGTTGCTTTCTTATCACATTACTATTTGCCAAAGTTGAGCAATATTCTGAGGTCGGCGATTACAGTTTTTGGCAACCAAATTGACACGGCCACGGTTCAATTCAATCATTTATATATTTCATCGCAACAAAGGACGGTCCCTGCATCTAACATATTGTCTATCGAAAATAAGTACTTCACGCCCCTGTTGATCCACTCAAACGGTTATCAGACAATAATTTGCCGCCTTCTTTGGCCAAGTGCTATCATCTTTACATTTCAGTCCATTTTCGTGTCAATCCTCTTTTTTCCGCAAACTATTATTAGCCTTCTCGACTATAAGTATCTCCAACGGACTATCATATTTTATAACGCCGCCAGGTAAAGCCTAATATGTCTTTACTTGGTTTCACTAAACTTGGGATTTGTTTTCTTACAAATATATTTTATCGAATGTGGGATTTCCGTACCGATTAAGAATACAGTAAAAGCTAATCATTTTTGATAGTCAAATGAAATAAAGTGTATGTCGGTCTTGATTCACATTATTACAAACGAAATAAACCTTTTACTCGTGGGAAATGCTTGCAACTTTGACACCAAAGATTTACTACTGGGTGTGATGAGTACAAGCGAATATGACCTTGATGTGTGAATTTTATAAGTAAAAAATGTAAATCGCAATAAATACATGTAAGTTGTCCTAAAACACATGACAAATGACAAGATACTGGCTGAAGATGATCGTTTTTTCTTATGTCACTACGCAATTTTTTTTTTTTTATGATAGATGTTTTGCGTATATATGCGATAATACTTGAAAATATGTTATAGAAAGATCATAAGTAAATAATGAAGAAGGGTATTTAGGATTTGGCTTATTATAATTTTTCCACTTGTTGTTGATTTTTTTCGGTCAGAAAATTTCCAAAAATATCTTATTGTCACTGAATAGATTATAAAGATTATTGTATACCTCTTTACCTTTGAACAAACATAAATATATTTCATACTCTTCGTAGTTTATTCAAATAAATTTTTTTTTATCAAAAAAAAAAAAAAAAATTCGGTTTTGAAAGTCGATAAGAAGAAAAATTAATTGTCCAATTTTTGGAAATTTACAAATCTCTTTAATTCTTTAGACTATGAGAAAACGATGAATGAGAAAGAGCGCAGATTACTTTATAAGGAACATCGTCGACGCGTGCAGAATGCTAAAAGTGTCGTGAACAGCCAAGCGCCCAAGCCGAAACAAACTGAAGAGCATCGCGAATTAACATTTCTTGATTTGATGAAAGCGCTTTACAATCGAGGCAATCGACGAACATTTACTAGTTCACCTATCCACGTACGCAGTAATACAAATGTTGTAGGCAAAATGCGTTGCCTCAGTTGTCGTCGCTTCACCCAAACAAATAGGGAGAAATCGAATTTATCGTTGACGGTGAATTTCAGTAGCCATACTAGCGAGAAAATTTTGAAGAAAGATAAGGCCGTTAATTACGCTAGCAGGAAAAGAAATCCGTTCGCAATACCGCCGCATGTAATGCAACGTTATGATCATTTGCAATTATCGGATACTTCACTTCTACGTAAATTGCTGAGGCCGAAAATTTTTTTGGATGTTGAGGTGCGCGAAGAGCGCCCACTCGGCCGTCTAGTTATACAATTATTTACAGAAGCATGTCCTGAAATAGTGCTGCAATTTGTACGTATCTGCTCAATGGGAAATGCGAGTCGGTTTCATTTCACGCGGCTATTTCCACCTTTGTGGCTTGAAGGTGAACTGCTTTTAGACGATTCGAACGCGCTGACTATTCCCAATATTGAGCACGATCCGAACGCTATAAATCATGGTAGCGCCGCTGGTATTTTAAGTTTCCCAAGTCGTTATTTACGGGGAAGTAAATATCGCTTTATAAGTTTTACAGTAAGTTTTAAGCCGGCTGATGTCTTAAACGGAAAACGGATAGCTTTCGCTCGTATACGCCGTGGTCAACATGTCTTAGACACCCTGCAGGCATTTGATGTTACGCGTAATGGACGCCCAGTAAAAGATGTTGTAATAACGTCCTGCGGGGTACTATGAGCGGGCTTCGCGAGTATTCGCGAAGTTCCTATGTACGTTTGTAGTATTTTTTATGTAAGCTAAAATTGTGGTTAAATTGTAAAATTTAAAAATCTATGTAAAAATTATTTTTATTCATGATTGTAATAAAATGTAAAAAACAGAATTTTCTCCTTGTTTGCTCAAACATCTGCTATTTAATGTGTTACATATGTGTTGCATACCTAAAAGGCGAAATGTGTTTTATAATTCTAGTACTGCAATGGACCTGAAATCCGGTACATTGCTAATGCCGCCCACTGTTACGAATTCCAGCTGTTCTCATCCACGTTACGCCACACATAACTTCATACAACAAGTTGGTATTGTCGAAACAATTGAAGCTGCACTTATACTAAGCCTAACATTGGGTGTTATTGGCGCCAATAGTTTAGTTATATGCGTTATTAACAATACACGTTATTCTGTCTACATCCACCAGCAGGTATGATATGCAATTTCATGTAAATATATTATAATATACGATAAAAAAAAAAAAAAAAAAAAAAAACGGACCATTCCTGTCTATGCATACATACATATGGAGAAACAAAAAAAAAATTTTTTTAAATTTTTTGTTTCTCATTTCTTTTATCTCTCGTTATCTCGATAGCCTCGTTACTTACTTACATCGTTGGCCTTAAACGACCTTGCTATTGGTTTGCTTATTACACCATTCAGTTTATTGCCAGCTTTACTTCATTGTTGGCCATACGGCGAGATATTTTGCCAAATACAGGTAAACATTTCATTTTCATTGCATAGGTAAAGGACGCTACATTTCCAAACACGCGCACAAGCTTTAACCAATGCAAAGTTTTTAATTAGCTTCGGTTAATTCGGTTGCTTTAGTGCACAATCTAATCACTAATAGGTCCTGGTAAGTACTTTAGTGTCTAAATTTCAAACGAATATTTGTTGTAAGTGATATGTCGCTTTTTCAATTTGATGTCATTTGCGGTTATTTAAGGCGATTTTATAGATTTCGTCTTTCTCTATAGATTCGTCTTTCCTCCAACTTACAATTAAAACACATATCCTTCAAGTTCTCTAAGCCAATGGGTAGAGGAAAGACGACAGAATTGCTAAGAATAATTTACATACGATGTGAATGTGTGTCAGTGTTGGGGGAAAAAAACAATGCAGGAATTAGTGTACAATCTACGTCATGTACGAAACAGGGCAAAAGACGTACGTAGTTTATTATTTCCCCAATTGCAAATGTTTTCTGTTAAAGATTAAAATTTTATTGGACCTAATTCTTAAAAAGTAAATTAAAAATTCGTATAAATAAATTCTTAAAAAATAAATTATTATCACTAACACTTATCAAAAGCAATACGTAAAACAAACTTTTTCTATAGAGAGTACTTTAAGCCCATTCGTACAGTGAAGGACAAGGACTTAATCTCAATTCTTTTACTTTTTCCCTCTGAAGACAAACATTTGAAAAGGAAGGCTTTATATGTTAAGCATTAAAGGTGCAAATAGTATTCATTGAGTTCACAACATAGGACGACATTATTATTAAATTTCAAACATAAACACATGCACGTAAAGCAGCCATCGTTTAGTCTCATTTGAAGTGTAATTAACACAGTTGTTTGAACTTCAAGCATATCAGCTTCTATGCCAAAGAAAGGCTCTTTGAACGGAATAGCATTTAGAGTTCGTCGATAGTTGTGCGAAGCTTGTGGGCAGCATTGCCGATGAATTTCAGCTTGTATTAGTTTGTAGGATTTAAAAGCAGCAACTTGGATGGAACGTTTGAAGACATACGATTGGAAGAGTCAAACTCCAAGAGGAGGTGCATGGATCTTTTGAAATGGTAACAATCTCGTAAAGTCTTAAAGCAGTAAAGCGGTGGTGGAAGAACATGCAAGGCGTGGACATGCGAAAGCGGAAGGTGTTTGTGGGATAATGAAGACGTGGCAGACATGACAATAATACAAAGCGTAGATGTCTGGCATGAAAAAGGTCCAATAGTGAAAAAATATTTTTGCTTCTTAAATTTCAAACACCGCCTTTAGCATCTGTCATGTCAGATATTCAAGCTTTATTATATCGACTAATTTACTTTTAATTTTAACAAAATAAATTTGTATCACCGAACTGGAGACTGGAGGAATTATCGTGAATCAAAACTAATCTGACTGCGCCTAGAGTTATTGCAATAAAAGAATATATATTTGCCGTTTCGTTCCACAATTTTCTGAAAGATCAAATCCAGGAAAATCGTATCCCAAGCCACGTCTTCAAATTAAAGTAATCTGCTAATTAGAAATGACTACTGTTGTCTTAGCTCGATTTCGTATTTATCGTCAGAAGGCGTAATACCGTATTAAGTCGATTTTTTCTCGATTGGTGCCCTTTCCTTAATTAGTTATTTATTTATCATGGATGTTTAGGTTGACAACATTGGACGTTTCTTTTCATGTTTGTTTTGTAACTTTTTTAGCAAATTTTAGGACGCTTGCTCTGCCAGGGCAAATGGTCGCATTACGAAACCTACGTTGTAGTTGAGAGGTAGGAAATTTTTGTATTAAGCCGATGAACTTAAACTTCTTGTGACTGCTTCCCCCGGTGCATGCCAGTCGTCGAATTCCCGATTACAATAAAATCACCCGCCGTTGAAGGCATCATTAACAAATAATAAAGATAAAGAAAGAACAATGGTAAGAGCTATGATATATCGCACCACATACTCGGCTATATGGGCAATGATCTCTAGTTCCGTCCGCCATTAAGAATTCATTAAGAATTCTGAACGGCTGATATGACACACATTATCTTTAACATCATGTACTCGACGGTAGAGGTCAATTTCGCTGACCAATTATATCCGAACAGGTCTTATTTTATCTATTTGAGAAATGGTACTGTTATACCAGCCGCTTATCTACTTCAGCCTAAGAAATTGCAGGATACAACTAGAGCTTCATTCTTGTAATAGGCATCGTGTGTCATAAGGCACCGATACCAACCTAGAGAGAATCGCCTTGTCACACAGAATTACGACAACAAGAAAGCAATCGAACTGAGGAGTAAAGATTTTTTAATTTTTAGATTCAGATCTTATTTGTACACATGTCTTGAGATGACGACTTCAGTTTAAAGTTCACAGTCTTGTATCTTGCTACTTATGAGAATGCTTACACGTACGATGTTATGATCGTATTGTTCACATACCACTAACAAAGATTAGTAATTTGGCAACCTTTCTTCAATTTTCAAAGGTATTTATTTAACATTAGACTACTGCGGGGATCAACATGACCTTTTTGAATTTTTGAACTTAAAGAAATGGTTAAGAAGCACTTGAAGTTCCGATAATATTTTAGTGACTTTTGAGAAGACTTCTAAAACTCACTAATCAGTTTTTCTTGAACTGATCTAGTTTGCGAAATACCGATGACATATACATATTTCTACTGTTATAAGTCATTTTTACCCATAGGGATTACAAACTGTAGTAAAACGAGATTACAAGAAGGATAAGCAAAATCTTTAATTTTTTTCAAAATATTTCCTGTTATTCGTTCATATTTTATATTTTTCATTAATAACTACATGATTACTGACTTTACATAATCATGTTAGTTATTTTGCAAGTACTATGTGCATCCTCTTCGCTGCTCAACGCAATTAATAACTTTGCAAAATTTACAACACTAATGTAGTTTTATGCCTTCTAAATAACGCTGTGCGTCTTCAACACAAGTTTGTATCAATGCGTCGTTCGCCAGACTCCGACTTGTATGCCAGTGCTGCGAAGATACTGTGAGCATTCAGTTGTGAGAAAACACTTTCAATTAAAGGCTC